AAATTTTTAATTCCAATAGCGTTCCTGATTTTCGAATTATCTGGGTGATGATATTAATTGCATCAAATTATTCCAGTAAGCATGTACTCCAACTTTCTAGTCTTTGGAACTCGTATTATTTGGTCAATTGAAAGGAGTAGTAAGCACTGTACTATGTACACGTATCAAAGGTGTAAGTCGGCAATCACATAACTTGTTTGCGGTGTCTGAAAATCTCCGCCTCTATGTTATTTTTTTTAAAGGAGAACAAATTGACATCAGTCCTTGAAGTTTATACAGAATTTTCTTCGTACAGAGAAGAAAAATCACAGCAGTTTTAAAGAACTGCCATTGAGTAGTTTTCCGTTTAAAAAATGAAGTATGAAAGGAAGTCTGCGACGTCGCAAACAGAGTTATGTGATTGCCGTCTTACACGTCCTCGATATGTATTTAAGCACTAATGCGGGCTTAGATTGGAAGAAAAATGGGGGGGGGGGGGGGGGTCTCCATTATTTTGTGGAAAATTTTGTGAAAAGCCAACGGGAAAAATGTGGGAAGCTGGCGGGCGGGCGAGTTGGAATTTGGAGGCCTGGAGGATTCTGCACCCTTGACCTACTTAAAAGGGGACTTCAGGTATCCCTCTATAATCTAAAATCTTGAGCACTTCAGTGGTTAGCATGACAGCAACAAAATACCTGATTAATTCCTTTTGAGGCAGAATTGCAGGTGACTCTTCATCTGCTTTTGAAGGACTCCAGAAATGTTCGGATTCTTGAGCTTTGTGTGCCAAACTAGGTTGAGTGAGCCTCGAGCATGTTTTCACCAAAAGCTACAGGAAAAAGAGATCAAGCAAATTAAGGAGGAAGATTGGAAAGAACAGGAGTACGAAATTTCGAATTCCCTCTTTCAGGAGAAAGCCTCCTCAGAACAGGAAGGTCTTTTTTAGGGTGCCTATTAAAATTTCACTTTGATTTTCCCGATATTTTATATTAAATTTCCTGATATTCAACGGGAATGAACTGTTCCACTCTTTGATTTTGCAATCTCACGTATTTAATGAGTTGAATCAAATGTTTCACTTTAAAATGTACTAAACTGCATGTAAGTAAAAAACGCTTGATGCACTTTGACTTTCCTGATCCATGACTGATTTCCCTGATGACTTCAAATACTTTGATATTTTCTGGCTTTTCCAGTTTTTACAGATGGTAAACACCCTGCTATTTAAGGGGCCACTGGATTTCATTCACACACATGTAGAATAAAATCTTGTAAGGAAACAACTCCTCTACTTTTTTTTAACTAAAATTAGTTTATTTTGGTAGTAGGTATAGTGATAAAAAGTTCAAAAGGATACAAAAGGAGTTCAAAGACCTAGCGAATCCACAATCCAGAGTTGTCACAATTTAAAGAATGAAATTCCCAGGCTGTTCTCTCTCACATTTTGGTAAAATTGCCTGACAATTGAAGATATGCCAGATGATTAAAAAGACATAATTTGAATCAGTTTCTGTTTCAAAAATCAGTTGTTCAAAATAGCGAACATATTCAAGGAAGCAAATAAACGTCACTTAAAAATTTTTCCCTGACCGTCTCGTCATTGCTCCTGACATTTCCAGGTTTCCTCTGACTCTTTAAAATTCCCTAGTTTACCTAACTGTGACAACCTTGTATTATGATTGGGTTCTCATTACTGATCAATACTAACTTACTTCCATATGATTGTGTAGCTCTGATTGAAGGTGCTTTGAAAGATCTTCACTATTTGTAAGAACTGCTAAACAACCAAAAGCTTTGAATGAACACTCCTTTTCCTTCTCGGGTTCGACATTTTCCTTTGAAAAAAAGAACAAAATAACAGCTGATTAGACATAGAAAAGGAGGGAATCCATTACCTTCTGTATACAAATCGAAGGGGCATTATCATTTTCAAAATCAATACTTTTCCTTTCCTAGAACTTGAACATTTATGGTAGAGTACTTAAAGGAAACGAAGATCTTTTCCAAAGTTTAATAACTTGACCTATTCAAAATGCATTAAAATTCTTTACATAATCTGACTTTTTAATCTGATGTTTTAAGCCTTTTCCACGGTTAGATTGTTATTTACAGTGTATTTTCAGGTGATTAAGTTGTTTTTTCTTCTACTTCTAGATACTTCTTCTCAAGGCGGATGAAGAAAGGTGGTCGCATTTCGAGTTGAGCCGCCATTTTAAAGGCTGTGACTCGCAAAGGGTAGATGCTTTGCCATGCAAGCAGGATGTACCTGGAATGTACCCAATGCCATGTGACGTCAAGAAGGTACGAAATGCGACCACCATTCTTTATCCGCCTTGCTGCTTTTAGATTTCCTACATTTGTAATCTTTACTTCATTTAGATATATTATTACTTTTGGTATATTTACTTGTAGAAACAGAGGAGAGACATACTTTGAAGGAGCACTCTGTCATGTGTCCATCAAGTTCCATCAGCGGTAGGGAAATGCCACAGCCCTCGAACGGACATAGAATCCGTTGCTCTAAAATCTCACGTTTTGTATAAAGGTCAGGAAACAAATCTGAATCTTCCAAGGCTGCACCATCAATAGGACAACTTTTACTCCTCTTCCTGAAAGTGAAAATAAACAAAGTTAGTAGAAGAAAGGGGTAGGAAAAATAAACAGATTACTGCGCATAATTAGTTTGGTGAATAACTTACGCACAATGAAATAATAAGTATTACAGAAAAATTTTTGCCTTAGAGCTAGATTCAGGTTATAAGGGTGACTCAAATTTTAAAGAAGGTACAACTATTGCGGGCTGATTGTTGAAATTGATAGACAAAGCGAATGACAAAAAAGACATAGGGAGTATGGAGCTATGTTGAAATGAGTGGCTCTTACAGACTGAGGGAGAAAATGATGAACTAACTGTAGGGTCTCCCGAGGGTTGCCAGGAGTGAGTCTATTACATACCTCCTTTGTCCATTGCATCCACCCACTTACACCCGTACAAGCCCTCCATATCCTTTTTGTCTTCTGTGTCTATTGCTTTGTCTACCAATTTCAACAATCAGCCCGCAGGTATTATGTAATTTTATCTGATAAATTATGGATTTTCTGGAGAGCTTCTCCTCTGTAAGCAGAATATATTGCGTAAATTTCAAGCTTTTAAGTCGGCTAGTTATTCTTTGAAAAATAAAACGGAAGCAAAAATTTTGAAACACGGCAGAGAGGATAGGTGGTATGGCACTTTAAGTAGTCATTGATATTTTCTTTTTGAAGAGGAAAGCTACTTCTACATTTTTGATTGAAATTTTGAAAATATAGAAAATTCGATCATTTAAGATGAAATGAACATATGTTCGACATGGATGCTCATGTTTCAAAAATTCTTTAATCCAGTTCTATTTTTTCATTATGAAGCAGACTTCATTTGACTCTATTACTTACCTTTGGATTGTTCATTACAACAATAAAATCTCCTATTAGATCAGACTGAAGAGAAAATAAGAAATGGAAAAAATTCCTAGATTCACCTCTCTTCTTATGAATTTTATTTTTTATAAGAATGAGGGGCGGTGGGAGTGTTGTCCTATAGCAAAATCCCGATTTGATACGCTGTTCAAGTAATACTTTACTTACTCTAACCACATATGAATACAGCTTTCACAAAAACGATGCCCACACTTTGTGAGCACTGGATCCTTCAGGCAGGAAAGGCATACAGGACATTCATAACGCTGATCAAACAGCTGTACTTTGCTTGATTTTAAGTCATCCTAAGATAAGAAAAAACCATTATGAGTCAGAAATACATACATAAATGAACAGCTATATTATAGTTGTTGAGAGAGATATAAATATATGGATAAAATGACTTGCAGCCCGACATGATATAAACGATGATATAAAAAAATTGGGATAAAAGCTGTAAACACATATAAAAGAAACCGTACGTTTCGGGGCGAAACAACCAACACCTGCCTCAGCGGCTAAAAACAAAAAAATTAAACTAAAAACCTAAAAAAACTACCTCCTCCCCATCTCACCAGTCCGATGAGATTTTATGATTGTTTGGCGAGATGGGTAGGAGGTAGTTTTTTTTCGGTTTTCAGCTTAATTTTTTTGTTTTTAGCCACTGAGGAAGGGGTGGGTTGTTTCGCCCCGAAACGTACGGTTTTTTTTAAATATGCATACCTACAGCTTTTATCCCAATTTTTGTGAGTCATTGTTTATATAAATATATGTATAAACGTGAATTTGAATGGCATGCATATTCAAAATCTACAACCCATGTCAAATGACAATTCAACAATCCATGCGTAGTTTTACTTAAATGTAATCCTGACCTCAGGCCATACCACTTCAAATCACAGATATCCTCGTCCATTGCATTTTACTTCTATAGATGGAACATAAGCCCCACAGTAAATAGGTCATTTCTAGGCGAGAGACCTGACGACCATGGCTGCTTAGTCATTAGGAATTAGCACACCTGACAGGCGATTATTGGAACTACATCAGCACAAGACAAGATACAGTCCTATCTATACTATGCAATAAATCGCATTTCGATGTCTAATCAGGCCACTATAAACTTACAATAATTGACTCGCTGCCTTGGAAACAACGTAGAAGATAAGAAAATTTGGGATGTACTTACGAACACCAGATAAAGAGATGAGAAAAAGTGAGTAATTTTATCTTGAAGTTACAACAAAAGCTGCGAAATTCATACTTATGTACCAACGTATAAACATATAATACAATTTGTATTATAAGTCTATGTGCTAAAGACATAACTTCGGCTGATGCTACAATTCTGTATAAGTAAGTACCTGAGGGAGTGAGTCATCCTCCTTCATATGCCTCAGATCCATCTGGACACAAGTGCGTTAAAACTTGCAGGTAATGATTAATGATACAAATGCTGAGTAAAATTCACAACTAAGTCACCATGGAGTGAGATCCATTTATAAAAATACACTATAACTGAAAGATTTAAATCAAATAAACTTAAAAAAAACTTATTTGAAAAGGCAGAAACTTGAATTTCCTTGTTTGTTTTGCATTGTTATTCTTCTTCGGTCAGGTGAGACGTCAGGTAGCGAAGTGGGCGCTGATTGGCCGGATTGGCCCCCTTCCCCTTGCACCATACCTCTTTCACCCTCAACCCTCCCCTCCTCTCCTGCAAATCTACAGGCTGTTAAATACAGAAAAATCAAAGTCTCTTTAGCTCAGCTTTTGTTTGCAAACTTTTAGCACAAAGTTTTGTAATCTTTTAAACACTATCCTACCTTTTATGTTTTTTGATAAATTATTTCAAAAACGCTGTTTAAACAAAGTATACAGTATCATCTCCCTATCGCTGTCGATGAAAAGATGAGGAATCAAGAAAGTTCTAGTGCTTGCCCCTAAGGGGAAAAACAAGAGGGATTTTAATAGCATCCTAACAAAGAGAAAGTCCCTACTCCTTAAATACACTTTATTGATTAATTTAAATTGTTGGTAATTAGTCCAAGAAGAGTTAAATAGGATTGATTGCTTGCAGCCTACTTTAATTGAGCAGAAATATTTACCTGTGGCCCCTTATCAGCCCATAACAGTTTAAATATCATTCAAACATTGATATCAAAAATAAGTTAAACTAAAGAGTTCCAGCGTTCTGTTGGCTGCATTGTCATGCATAACCTAAATATGCAAGAATTTTCTTTTTGTCTCCTCCAGCTTCAATGTGATGTGTGTCAGCCAGTGTTTTCTATTCTTTTGAAAAAGTAAAGTGGTTCAATTTCGAGGATTTTTCAGTGACTTCAAGTGACCCGTTGACAACTATTATCAAGCAGAAACCACACGCATAACTCCACATTTTTCCACGCTCATTTTGATGTTCTTCTCAACTCGACCCACCAAGAGTCAACTTACTATGTTTTCCTACCCAGTACCTTCTTCACTACCTGTTAGATCGGAACTTTGAGTCGGATTGGATATTATGCGTCAGAGAAGTAAATCTAAAGCTTTCACATAGAATCGGGAATGTTTCGTCTCCAGGAAGTATGGGCTCCCAACTCAAAACTTGGCCTAGTCCCGTAGAATTTTCTATTAACAGCAAGAAAACGAGTGGTGATTACAAAGGTCCGGTCCTTCAAGATATAAACATGCCTTTGTCTCGTAATCAATCTGTGGTCAATAATGTAAACGGTGCGTCTTGTAGTGTTCCAAATGAAGAATACACAGAGTCGAAAGATCATCTGCCCCCATTGAAGTACGGTATCAATGATGACTTCAACAACATGTGCGTCAAGAGCACTAATTCCTGTACAACTAACACAACCCATCAATCTTTACCTCTAGTTAGTTCTTCTGAGGATGCTCAAAGTTGTGTACCGTTCAAGAATGGCACAAAACTGAAAACAATGGTAGCCACACCAGAACAAGTTGTAAAAATGTATATTAACAAACTTACTCCGTATGAATTGCTTGAAATCTACACTTACCCGCAGATATACTTCATCGGAGCATCTGCAAAGAAAAGACCTGGCATCGTAGGAGCTCCAAACAACTGCAGTTATGATAATGAACAGGGATCTTACATTCACATTGCGCATGACCATATAGCATATCGATATGAGGTGCTGAAAACTATAGGCAAAGGCAGCTTTGGACAGGTTTTAAAGGTCTACGACCACAAAAATCATGAACATGTTGCACTCAAAGTTGTCCGAAATGAGAAAAGATTCCATCGGCAAGCTCAGGAAGAAATTCGAATCTTGGAACACCTTCGGAATCAAGATGAAGACAACACAATGAATATTATTCATATGTTCAATAGTTTTACTTTTCGTAATCATATGTGCATAACGTTTGAGCTATTATCTGTGAATCTTTATGAGCTCATAAAGAAAAATAAGTTTCAAGGATTTAGCTTGCAACTTGTTCGGAAGTTTTCTCATTCTCTCCTTCAATGTCTAGATGCCCTTAACAAATTTAAAATAATTCATTGTGATCTGAAACCGGAAAACATTCTTCTCAAGCAGCAAGGACGAAGTGGGATCAAGGTTCGTACAAGTATATGTCAGTTATGTTTGTACTTATTTCTTACTTTCCCATACCAAAATTGGCACAGCTGTATGAGCTGATTGTAAGGAGAATTGTATAAAAATTACTCACAAAAAAATGAATATTTTGTCACACAACTGCCATAAACTAAGAAGGGACAAATTGTTTTCTACATTCTTCTTAGTAGAGCAGTTACTAGACCTTGCATTATCTCTTCCTAAATTCCCTCTAAATACTGCACCTATCATTTCCAGGCCATCATCAAATTTTTGTAAAAATTATTATAATTGTTGTGTAAAGTTGAAAAAGTGCACTTCAGACTGTGCTAGTGAACTCATTTTGATATTCAAGACATGTGCCACTGGGAACAACCCGCATTTTCAAATGAGTGTATGTCAATGCTAAGTTTGCTACAGACCCATTGTAGAACAACACGGAGGGCAATGTATTTTTGCAGGGTTGTAGGAGGCGTATAGCTACTTGCATGTAAAATGTTCTTAAAAACATGAAAGTTCATTAAAAAGTTTAAAAAATAATTTCTAATGGGAGAAAAAACCAATCAAAATCTGATCAATCAAAAACCAACAGTTGTGTTGATGTAACAGGGCTGTACCTATAGCTAAGTTCAAATGATCACCCATAGGGTCACCAAAATGTGACCAAATTCCTAGAATCTTAGTTCCACCTATTATTTCCGAAAATGAATTATAAAAAATGCATGCCACTGAATGACATTATTGATCGGGGGTAAAGGAAATTATTATCTGAGTACCTACTATAAAAGAAATTAGTAAGCATACAAGGTGAGGTTTTCATTGGGTTTTCACAGATTAAAGAGAATGGAAATAATAATAATTTCCAGTGAATATTGACTACTGTGCTCATGAACATTACCAGTTCCTCAGTGGCGTGGCGTGCTTTGCGATATATCGATAGATATGCCACTCAAACCTATGAAAAAGATCGATTATCAGGGCTCGCAGCGAACACCCTAGTAATCGATTCTTTACCATAGTTTCAAATGGCGAGATATCGATAATCGACCATTCACGCCACGCCACTGCAGTTCCTTGTAATGGAAAAATCTTCCCAGTATGGTGCTGATTTCCTGTGACAATTTTTTAATCTCTTAGTAAGTATCTGAAGGAAAAATTAAGTCTTGCAATAAATCTACCTCAATTTACTCTGTATCTACTTTCAGGGTATTTTGGCAAAAGCTAACTTTATATAATTTGATATTGAGTAATAATTTTTTCTGCAGAAAGTACGAATTGACGGGATGTACGTAATGCGAACTGCAAACATTGATTTCTCCCTCATGAGTTGATTTTGGTCAGCGCAAGTTAAATAATTCAACAATAAGTTCAAATTTGATGAGAAAATATGTTCTATGGTACTTTAATTCTCATCTTGTCCACTAGATTATTTTTTCATTATATCCTATTTTTCTAATCCATAGTGATATTTCTGATTTCTTTTTCAGGTGATTGACTTCGGCTCCAGTTGTTACGAGAATGAAAGGGTGTATACCTACATTCAGTCTAGATTCTACCGAGCTCCTGAGGTGATTCTTGGAGTCAAGTATGGAATGCCCATAGATATGTGGAGTTTTGGCTGTATACTTGCTGAATTATTAACCGGATTCCCATTGTTACCAGGTGAGGACGAATCAGATCAATTCGCATGTATCATTGAGCTTCTTGGACTTCCTCCAAAAGAACTCTTAAGCGCTTCAAAAAGAACTCAAATTTTTATGAATTCAAAAGGTCACCCTCGGTATTGCAGTAAAACTGTTTTGTCAAACGGTATGACCTTATTAGGACCAGGAACCTCGCGCCGAGGCAAAACTCGAGGCGCACCAGGCTCGAAAACTTTCTCTGGCGCATTAAAAGGATGTGATGATCCCTTGTTCCTGGATTTTATTCGCCGATGTTTGGCATGGGATCCAGCAGAGAGACTGACACCAGCAGCTGCGTTAAGGCATCAGTGGCTGAGAAGACGCTTGCCTCGACCACCTCCAACTCCAGGATCAGCGAGCTTACGAACGGTAACTGTTTCAGAGTCCCACCACATTGCCAAGCTGCCTCCTGTGTCCTAGCCTCCATCACCTAGCTCACAGTCAGCATTCACCCAATGATCTCCGACTGCTTTGACTTAGCTAAGTCATATTTTTTTAATATCCGTAAGCTTGAATTGCTTAATTTTCCATTGTTCCCTTACTTTGTTTTATAATTTTTTTTCCTCTCTCTCTCTCTCTTCCTTTTTTTTCTCCCTTCCCATTTCATGTTGAGTCACTGAGTCACTTAGTCATTTTATAATTAAATAAATATGACTGATCATTTTAAATGCTAGTTTGTATTCCTTTGTGTAAAGTATTCTGCAGTACTTTTAACCATATTGTAATTATTGTACATTTTCAACTTATCGATAGTGTGTAATGATTGTTTAGCTCATGACCAGCACTTATTTTCGCTTGAAAATCAAAGTGGTAGATTTCAAAACATTGCAAAAAATTGAGAGATAAAAATTCGAAGGAAAAAAACAATAAAATCTTACTTGAGGGAGAAATCGGTGGCTAGTTAGGAAAAATTTTCTGTCATTTGGTAGCCATTATTCCATAATTGAATCAGTGAGAATGAAAATACACCAACTCGGAAAAATGAAAGTGTTCAAGAGACACAAAACACTGCACAGTAGGTGAATAAGATGGTCCTGCAAAAAGCTTTTTGGTGCCAAAGGACAAGCATTTTGGGACTTTTTAAAGGCCCAAGTTGACATAGATGCGTGGCTTTCAACGGTTTTTTTCTTAACTTGGGCATCTTAAATGACATTTTGGCATTTTAAGTTTCCAAGATGGTTCGTTTTCATTCTCACAGATTCATTGTCTTCTTCCTTGTTTTTAAACTGTTAGAGTGAGTTTGTCTCCTTGCACACATTCACACAATTTATCTGACAAATTTTATACTTTCCCACAATAATTTGTATACTTGTTCCTAGTCATGTGTTGATAGCTTTACTGGCCCCCAACTCATCAATCAGTTGATATTTACTGTCCAAGAGTATTCGAATCGAACAGCTAGTTCAGCTTTCTGTAAGCATTTTTTATAACATTTATTTTGAACTTGAACCCAACCTCTTGTCTTATAGACTTTATGATTTTGAGCATTTACTATCCCTAATTAGTATACTGAATATTGAATCCTCTCATATTATTAGTAACGACTTTAATTTTGCATTTCCTTCCAGTGTTCTTTAATTTTAGGTGCTGCACACAATCTTACTACATATTATCTGAGTCGAATAAGACTCAGTTCTAATGTTTTGACTGAGGAACTGCAATTTCAATTAGTGATAAAATTTAACTGATTTAAGTCTGTGCCCTTCTCTTGCTTCATAATTTTAAAGTTCTTACTTAATTTAGCTGAAAACGTATCAAAATATGATTCCATCATGAAGAATTCCTCCATGGTTGGTACTCGATTGATAGTTCCCTGCGTGGCCCCCCATGACATTTTGTTGCTCGAATTTCTTTCACTGTAATTTCGAACTCAGCATTGCCGGAATGCACATCCCCCCCCCCAACTCTTAAAGAAAAGAAGTAAAGCCTTACTGCTGTGCTAAGGAAAAACGCTGTGCGAGCCTTCAGAACTTGCTTAATTTCCTTTGACTAATCACGAATTTTCTGGAAAATTGGTAAATATTTTGCCTCTGGTTTTCAGAAAAATGTGTTCATAATTTGATCTAAGATGTCTGAAAATTTCATGGAAAAATATTCATAACGCTTGTCAAAAATAAACCTTTTCTGAGAGGAAATTTGGCAGCATTCAAGTGCTCATACAGCGTTTTTCCTTAGCAAGGTAGCACAGCAATTACTGAATTCTCACTGTATTGGATATCTATGAAATGTAACATAACCCCTCTCTGAACCCTCCAAGTTGAGATGTATCAAACATCAATCAGATCAATGTATGCAGTCTTGTGTAAATCTTTTCTAAAGTATGATTTACACTCAATTTTCTACATCTCCTAAAAGAAGAATTGGAGGAATCGAGTAGGTCGATTTCAAAAATCATCAAATTTTGATGAACTTGGTCATCATAATCTCTTATGAAGGATTCGAGATACTATTGCATGTCTGGGAAGCCCTTACTGGACAGTTTGCTAGTTTTCTGGAAAATAGGTCAATCTTAGGGTATTTTTGGAAACAAGAAAAAGCTTGAAAGAAACTCGTGGAATTTTAATTATTCTCAAAACCTTCGTCAATGAAAGGTGTTTATCTGAGTTTTATTGCCATAAATTGTATCTCCAATCCCTTGTTTAGAATGGCTCAGAAATCCAGAGGGAATTTCTCATGGTTTTTTAGCAACCTGGCAACCTTGGTACGATGCAAAGTCTGAACCCTTTTTGCTCTATTTCTGCTGTATGAAAATTTAGCTGTTGCCAAATTTCTTCCAATGAGACAAACATTAATTTATTCATAGGATACATTTTTCTGCACATTCATTCCTTGTAAAATATCCGTGATTGCAAAGCATTTGCATTCTTTAAAATTTCCAAGAAAAATATTTGTTCCATTTCTCAAAAAGAAATGTTTTATCAGACCATATTTGTCAACATATTAGTGCTCATAACATATGGACTTCATTTTGCAATTCAGAACTGTAATTTCTAGCACATTTGTAAAAACACTTTTGTGCATAAGGAAACTAACGGTACACACGTTGTTTCAAACTGAGCCAGAAATTGCAGTTCCAAATTGCACAATGCAGTCCATACAGCGTTTTCTCATAGCATGGCAGAATTAGGGAAAAAATAAATGGGAGAAAGCATAGTAAGAAGTAGAGTATATAATATTCAAGCCCTATCTTTTGAGCATATTATTGAGCCATCATTTTTCAATCTCTTCCTCTCTTTTTCTAAGTCAGGTACCCAAGAATGGGGAAGGGCCTTAAATGAATGAGTTAGTTATTTTGTCGTGTGTTTATAAATACAATGAGGCAAGTCTCCAGTTCTGATCGGTCTATTTCTAGCTTATTGTAACACTTTCTCGATGAAATTACTTGCACTGTGGCCACTCAGAATAACAACAAATCAAATGTGCTGAATTTGATTCTCTGCCAATTTAACCAACATGGAGCGTGTATCAAGCCCTCTATTGAGTCTATTAGCCTTGCAAAAAAATAAAAAGAGTCAATGAACCATTCTTTCACAACAAAGGCATTCTCTCTGAACTTCCTTGTTTTTTCTCTCCCATTTAAATTCGAGCTCATGGAATCATAAGATAAAAAACGCAATCCTTGCTGAAATCTAATGATGAAAAAGAGGGGGGGGGGGTAGGCTCAATGCTCCAAATATTTCTCATTTCAGTGTTATCCAGGATTGCCATTCTTGAAGAAAAATGATACAAGAAAAGATAATGAGAAGAACTATCATCCTCAATCTTTCATAAAATACTCCTCATTCAAATTTGCACCAGGGTTGTCAAAGATATGGGAAAATAGGAACTTCATGGAAACCCTTCAGAAGTCTCTATAAAATTTGAAAAAAAAATTGACTTATTTCAAAGACTCAAGGCTGTATTCAAGTCTTTCCTTAAAAAGCTCCTTATGCCACAGAGGCCCCATGTAGTTCATGCTGTCATAAGAAAGTGAAAGGAAGCCTGGAACGCAGAATCATAAAAGCGACATATCTTGCAAACCTCAAGTAAATTCAGCAGTATACCTCTGAAAATAGACCCCAAGAAGGATTGCAATGATTTGCTGCTACAAAAAATACAAACAAAAATATACCACAAATTTTGTAAAATATAAGGTAGGTTGGCACCTACCGTTATGTTTATCAAAATTGTGGAAATTTTTCTTCCGTATTTTGCTATTTTTGCTGTAGCAAATCATTTTAATCCCTTTGGGGGATCAATTCCCAAACTTTTACTGCTGTATCTTACTCCCAATTTTATGTTGCTATGTTCTAAGTTTTATATAACCTCCCTTAAAGACAGTGTAAATTATATGAAAAAGAGCCGTCAGAAGGAAGACTATGAAAACAGCCCTTAATATCTCTTCAAATAAACCGTTTCCAGAACAAATACCTCCCTTCCAATTCGATTGATCTGATTTGGACTCAAATCTCTTATTCCTTTTCTTATCAGTAAACCAGAGTACTCTAACTAGCGCCCAAATGGACTACATTTTGAAATCAGGAACTATAATTTTTGGCTTAGTTTAGAAAAAACGTATGGACCATCAGTTTCCTTATGCACATACGTGTTTTTACAGATAAGCCAGAAATTATAGTTCCGAATTGCAAAATGTAGTCCAAATGATTTCCACCTTTGATCCTCCTCTCTTCGACCTCGTCTTTAAGTTTTTAAACTTTGTCAAGTGATGGGATGGTTTTTTCCGCTTTAGTTTAATAGTATATGTCTTTCATCGTTTAGTTTTTAAGAGTGACCCTGTAATCTTTTTTTTACCGGTAAATGAGTGTCCTGAGGCTCTATTTTGTCAGGTTCTGCGTCTAGTGCTTAATCATTTTTCCCTCTTTGTTATGACTAGGTCTGTAAATCATTATCTTCTACTGCTCTTTTTTATTACACTAACACAACACAACTGGAGAAATTGGCATAAGAAATACACACTTGAAACTACTTTGTCAATTAGGTAGATTATCGATAGATTTTTAGTTTTCATAACTGGATTTCTAGGGTTTCCAACAACTTGGGCAGTGAGTCAATTAATTTAGTATCCAATATCAACGTATGTAACTAGCAATCATTGACAAGAAACTTTTTAAATTCCCCTATTCTTAATTACCTACCATTACATTTTGATGACCAAAAAGCCAAACCACGTATCTCCATCGCAAAGTTTCCAAAGTTCTGCTCTTATTTTATTTTTTCGTAGAGAAACAAATCAACCACATAGCTTGAAATCCACACAGAATATATTCTGCTAAGAGCGAAGAAAAATTAAGGAACTTTTCAAGAAATTAAGTTAACTAGCTATCTGATGAAAAAATAAAGTAGGACAGGAATTCTGCAAACGGTGATACAATGGTTAGCAGTATAGTCATCGATTTGGACCTAAAAAAATTGTTAAAGTGTTTTAACTAAACCTTCAAAAAGAGTTTCTGAATTCAGAAACCCTTTTTGAGTTCCTTGGTAAAATTGATGGTCAAAAGAAAAAGTGAACATTCAAATTTTGTCAAATTTGAACTCTCATTTGTATTGGTGCGAAATGCAAACCACAAGCAATGTTTCAATGCTTTTTTTGCGGCACCGCATGGTTTCTCTCATTTAACATTTTTAATTGGAAAACTGATCAACCTAATTTCTTGAAAACGCCCCTGATTTTTCTTCTTTGTTTGAAGAATTTTTCTTTGAAAATTTTAAGCATTGAAGCTGCCTTGTTTTCCACTGATTCATTGTACGAATGAAAGTTCTTCAACACTTCAACCGAGTTATGCGATTCCCGAAATACCTGACAGAAAACTTTTTTTAAAATTTACCAAAGAAAAAAAACTTGTAAAAGTGTGAAATGGCATTTTAATGTTAAAAAAGACCAAGAAAAAATTCTTAGTTTCCATACTTTGACAGTCCCCCCCCCCCCCAA